CTGGCTTTGCTGAGTATTTCATCCTTGGTAAGGAAATTCGAAAAGATAATTTTGACATTGAGACACTTCGCACCAGGTGGGGATCTCTGTTGTGGGATTATGGAAGGAAAAAACAACAGTCCGGTGCAATTAGTGGTGATGAAATCACAGGGAGACTTTTCAAGAAGAGGAAGAGGGGGCGACCGAGAAAGTAGTTCTGTTTTTTCCATTTTACTGTTGTTTTTCTATGTATCGGGAGTTATTGCCTAGTTTTGTCTAAGTACTATTCTGCTACTTGTGAGATAGCATTAAAGGATTTTATAGATGTTTTTATTTTTGTGTAATTTGCGGTAGTCATTACACATTGTGGCTGTGAATGAGTTACATTTTAATGAATATATCAATTACTTTTGTCCTTTAACAAAGTATGTATTTTCATTTTGGTTGCAGTTTTGTTGTTGTAGCAGGGTTTATACATATTTATACAAACTTATTCTCTCATTTATACATCTGTATACATATAATACCAGCAGTTCTGTTTTGTATTTGTACAATGTATCAATATATTTAGCACCATTAAAAATAGCAACACACTATTATTGGATAATCAAAAGATGTATAATGAAACATATTTAACACAACTGCAATATATAGCGTAAGTTGTAAATCTTTATTGACATTTGTAATTCAATTACTTGTGAGACTTAACTACTCAACATTTGTAACTCTATTCTTTGTGACACTTAACTACTCAACATGACAACAAATGTAATAGGAAGTGTTATGTTTTCAACTATTTATTTTGGTCGATTCCGACATATTTTTCTATTGTGACCACCTTGTCCACACACAGAACATGAAAACGCCCTCCTCTTTTTCTGAAGCAGGTTTGAGTCTTTCCTTTCTTGGCCTTCCTGCATTCCTTCTCTCTTTAGGTGGTAGGACCACATCTTCCATCACCTCTGTTGGGATTACCCATAGACTCTCATCTGGCATCGGATTCACTGAAAATTCATAAGTTCTAAGGAGTTTATCCTTCTTGTAGTAAAAAGAGCAATACTGGCCAGGTTTCAGCTGCTGGTTCTTCAAAACCGCCCAAGCATACGGACATGGAAGTTCATCTATGTGAAATTTTCCACAACTGCATGTTCCCTCTTCAAGGCACACTATGTTTCGCCTTACCCCTTCAAACACAGTATATTCTCCGTAGCAGGCCTCACCTGCAAAAGTTCTTTTTTTTTTTTAAAAAGTGAAAGAACATTATACATTATTATACGGGGATATACATCCTTATACAAGCAGTAAAATGCAAGTCAGCAGTGCCAAGAATCATTATATTTGATTCAATTTACCGTCATTTGCTCCGATGCAATCAGATTTTCTCGAAAGAGTTTGTCGTACTTTTCGCCAAGCTCTGTAGATGTCTCCATTGCACTTTTTCTATTTTTGTTGTTCCACTGTTGTAGCAAATTTGTCATGTACTCCAGCAATCGCATTATTGGTAACTCTCTAGCATCCTTGTTTGCTGCATTAATTGACTTTGCAATATTGGAAGTCATTACCATCGACCTTTTCACTTTAGAATATGCCCTAGACCACCTTTCGTACCCAATTTCGAACAAGTAAGGCTGCACTCTCGGATCAATTTTGCACATCTCTGTCATATGGTACTCAAACTTCTCTACCGTGTAAGCTCTAGCCAAAGCAAAGAAGATATCCTTCAATTGTTTGTGATGTTTCTTGAATGTGCGCTTTACATTCTGTCACAAGTGAAACATGCAAATACAATGTGGTACTTCTGGGTACACAACTTTTGTGGCATTGAAGATGCTTTCATTTCTATCTGAAACTATACACATCCCTTTCCTAACTCCAAAAGTACCCTTTATCTGGACAAAGAACCACTCCCAAGATTTGTTATTCTCTGAATCTACAATTGCATATGCAAGTGGAAGGATTTTTCCTGTTTATACAAAATAGATATTAGGATTCAGACAATTATACAAATATTATACAATTTTATACCAACTGCAAATTTTATAAAAACAGTAGCTGTGAAATCCTATACACTTTTATACATGAAACTACAACATTATACAAACTNGATTTTTCATGTTGTATCATACTACTGGAAAATGTCCTTATGATTCCAACTAATATGTACTATCGTTAATTACTTTTGTCCGTATATAATAGTCTCATAATATTATTTCTTGTCATAGTTTACTGTTGCGTTCATTTTATTTTATTTATTACGATTTTGTTATAGGTTTGAGTATAATATTATTATTCTCTATATCAACAACCATTATCGGTCTGCAATGCTCCCAGCCCTTGATAGATGCATATAGCGAAACATATGCATAAAGAAAGCATCCATCTTCTGATTTGTGCAACTTTGTAATCGTTCCTGGATTTGTTTGCTCTAACATATAAAAATACTTCGGCAACTCCTTATATGAATCACTAGGACTCCCTCTTATCATTGCCATTGCTATCTCTTTAGCTCTCCATGCTTTCATGTAGCTCACCTCAATTCCGTGTTGCTTTTGTATGTCCTTTATTATATCATTTGCGGTGTAAACTTTTTTTGGATTAACATACTTGTCCTTGACTATACTAGCAATTACACCCGAAGTAGCTTGACGTTGTGTTAAGTATCTTTCACCATAGCCGCATGTGTGATTATTTTTGTAACTTCTCACTTTGAATATGTTTGCCTTGAAAACGGCAGAAGATTTGAAACTCCAAGCACAATTTTCATCCATACACATAAGGTGATACCTAGGATTAAAGATCATTCAACTTCTAAATACACTTGTATACAAAAACATAACTACATATATACTAATTTTAATACCTATATACAAATATATACTACTTTATACATATTTATACATATATATATATAACAGAATATACAATTATTTACATACCTTGTTGCGCTTGATCTCTTCACCTTGAATTGGAACCTTTCACGTATAGCCAAGTTCTTCATCACACTGACAACTGTCTCTTTATCCTTATAAACTTGATCTTCCTCAACAAATTCGTTCAATATATCATCTATTATACCCCTGTTTTCACTAAATTTTGTGTTTTCAATAAATTTGATATAAATAATCTCAGTGCTATCAATTGTTGATACATCTCTAGAATCTGAACTTGTACCAACCAAACAGCTGGAACTTGTAGCAACTACACAACTAGAACTTGTAGGAACCAAACGATTTTCATATATCTCTTTCACTGTCACAAACAAAGGATATTCAGTGAAATTCAAGTTTTTCTTCTTTAATTCGATATACACCTTCACACATGTATCGATGTAAATCAGGATCGGTGACAAACCAACATTTAGGAGAAAGTTAATCTTTAACTCAATATCAATCCTAATCTGTTCCGAAATAGCTGCAACTAAATTGTTGTAGGTGAATGTCGACTCGATTATTACACAATCGCTGACGAAATTTATAAACTTGTTTTCTTCTCATTCACCACTATGAAGAACGTAAACTGGAAAAATCTCCATCGAACAAAAAATGGAAATCAAAATTGAAGCAAAAACTAAAATTGCGCTGTTTTGCAGCAAAAAAATTTTACTTTTCGTGTTTGATTTGTTGTTAATTCGAGATGAAGAAGAAATTCTAGGGTTTTTGGAGCTGCATTCATGGGCTCGTTTTTGAAGTATTTGGGGAACAAGATTGAAAAGAATCTGAGAAAATGCAGAAATCCCGCTTTTTACTCCCAAAAAAACGGAATTAACGCTCCTTTTTCAGATATGGGCCTATAATTTTTGGGCTACTCAATTGTAAATTGAAATATGGGCTATAAAGCTAAAAAGGAGGCAGCCCAATTGTTTTAATATGAAATTTTCCCAACAGTAAACCCGACCGACTATTTTTGTAAAGATTTTTTTAAATTTCTATTACGACTTACGAGAGATACAGCTAGCTCATGCTTTCCTATATACAGCTTGATGTCCAGAAACATGAAGAAAAAAAAAATTCCCCATATAAAATGAACATTGAACCTGCACTAATACACTATAATGCCATTTTTATATGAAAATATGTATGCAATATCCCACCTACTATTGATACCTACTCGTGCGCACGAGTTGAAGATCAATGTATAACCAAGATTTTATAATAAATAATATGCTTGTACTCGTGTGTATGAGATGTAGATCAGTATAATAACAAATACTGATCTTTGACCAAAATAATTAACTGGAAACAAGATCGAAAAATATCCTTCTCTCTGACCCTCCAAATCAATGGAGATTCCTTCACGCTACCAAATAATACAAGTTTATCTAACTGGCAATACCAACAAAAAAATTAGGGGTCCAAAATTAAAATGAGCTGTCGCATGGTGTATGATAATAAATTTCATGAGCAACCTATTTGGACGTTCTCATTTAATGGCTAGTTTTTCTAAAAATTGATTGTCAATATAGGCAAACTACATTTAAAACTCAAATTTCGTAATGATCATAATATGACAAATGATTTTGGACCGTCTAAAACAGCGGCTGATCTAGTCCAATAGATATAGGTTCATATGAACCCTGTAACTTTTGCTTAAATTTTATTTTTGTATAAAAAGTTCATTAATTTTACAAGAATATCTAGTTTGGAACCTAATTCATTAGTCCAATTATTAATATATATTAATTTGAGATCGTGTAGAAATACATTAAAATACTGGATCCACTTCTACCCTAAAGAAGGACAAAGTAGGAGGACTATATTGCCATTTAAGCTAACTCAAATTTCAAATGATCATAATATTATGGGAAAATGACACTGTATAGCCGCTGTAAAACTAATAACCGAAAAAATGTATAAAATTTATATATATATATATTAGGTATGTTATATACAAAAATTATACAAATTTTATACACTTTTTGTAAATAGTTTCTGGCGCGCGCTAAAAGTGATAATACCCTAATATTATTTGTCCAAGATTTTTCCTATATAACTAGATCATCGTCTCCATCCAATATTATCATATCACATTTGAAACTTCACACACAAACAAAAGAAACAAAAAGAAACACAAACAAGAACACAAAGTAGTCTTTTTCTTTCTTTCCTTCTTTTTCTGAGCTTAATACAATTATAGGAGATGGGAAACAGTCTAAGGTGCTGTTTGGCTTGTCTTCTTCCTTTTGGAGCACTAGACTTAATCCGTATCGTACATTTAAGTGGCCACGTAGAAGAAATTACACATCCAATCACAGCTTCTGAGGTTCTCAAGAATTACCCAAATCATATTTTAACTAAACCTTGTTCTCAAGGTATAGTTCGTCGGATTTTGATCTTGTCGCCGGAATCAGAACTCAAGAGGGGCAGCATTTATTTTTTGGTCACGGCCAATTCTTTGCCGGAGAAGAAGAAAACCAACAACTCCAATAAAAATGTCTCCAAAATTAAAAGCAAAGAATGTCATATTAGCATACCTGAGATTGATCGGTATTTAAGTGACGTTACATCAGAAAAGAAGTCTTCCCGTCGAGAACGGCGGAAGGGTGCAGTTGAGGAATGGAGGCCTCAGCTTGTGAGTATTTCCGAGGACTAAGAGCACGTTTGAATTAGCTTATTGTAAATAGCTGATAAGCTTGGAGTGCTGACGTCTCTTGTTACTTGGCCCAACCATAAAGAGAAACTATGTCCATTTATAAGTAGTTTATTATCAAAATTGGTAAATTCATCAAATATTACTACTATTAGTCAATTAGCTATTTGTAGCGAAAAAAGGATCAAGTTTTTACTTTCTTTTGAGTGAGTGCTATTAGAATAGATTGATACATCTTAAGGAGCTTGAATCTCAGATTTTAGCTGGTGGAGTTTTGAGGTGGTTTGAATTGAAAATTCGTAATAGAAGATGAACATGAAAAAGATGATATGTGTCACAGTGTGTATCATTTGCGTGTCACATATGTATCATATTTGTATCAAATGTGTATCACATGTATATCCATGTATACATTTGTGTGAGATACATGCATGATACATATTTGATACATGTGTCGCAGAAGAATTTTTTGAACTAGTTTTTAACTGCGAATTTGGATACAAAATTAGTCCAAATCACCTCCAATCTTCCTTAAATTTTTAGATTGACTCATCTATATGTTTTCATGAATTTCTAAGATACCATTGAAAAAGGTCCTTTTTTGCTTAGATTTCTGGAATCTTGTATATATATTTTTTTGTATTTCATCACCTTATTTGCTATCTCATTTCCTTTCCGTCTTGCATCTAATGTTATTGATCACACTTAAAAATATGGAAGGAGATCTTTGCGTGTTGAAGAGAAAGAATCTTATTTATTTGGGTTTTCAATTTTTATATGTGCTTGGCTAGTTTTGGTAAGTCTATGATTAATGGCTAGAGATTGGTAAGTTGAGACTTATAGCCTGTTTGGCCAAGCTTCTCCAAGATGAAAAGCAAAAAGTGTTTTTCTTCTAAAGTTGAAGTGTTTGGCCAAGCTTTTACGAGAAAAGTGTTTTTGAGGAGAAGCAGAAGCAGTTTTGGAGAAGTAGAAAAAAGTAGCTTCTTTCCAGAAGCACTTTTTTGAGAAGCACTTTTGAGAAAAATACACTTAGAAGCACTTTTAAAAAGTTTGATCAAACACTAATTGCTGCTTAGAAGTACTTTTCAAATTAACTAGTTTAGGATACGGGCGTTGCGCGTGTACGCGCGTGTACCTCATATTAATGCGTATAATTATTTCTAAAAAATTACTTAAATATTATAAATATATATAATTGAGTTATAAAATAAAAATAAAAGAAAAAATGTAAGTTTATGAAGTGAAGAATATTAATCCTATTTAATTAAATGGATAAACATCTCTTGTGTTTCTCTACTACACACATTTGCTTTGTCATGAAATCAAACTCATATTTATTGATTATTTATATTGCTTAATTGCTATAAAAAAATTATTGTACTCTTTAGTTGTGTTTGGAGGCAAGAGAATGGTGAACCCATAAATTTCTACTAATATTTTCTGATGAAAATATTTTATAGCTGTATAAATATCTATGGCTTGTTTAGACCATAAATTTCAAAATTATTTCTTCTTTCTCAAACTCCATACTCAGTTAAACACTGTCAGTGAGTGGGTCAGAAAAAATAAATATTAGTATCTCCTACATAGTTAAAATAAATTAAAAAAAATTAATAAGCGAAATTTTAATTAATTTTAAAGTCCTAAAATATTAAAAAATAATTAAATGATAATTTTATTCAAGGTGAAATATATATTTAAAGGATACAAAAATCGATCAATATTTTGTGTTGAATCTTCATTAAAAATATTTTTTACAATACTTTAATCAACCTTTTTTACTCTTTAAAAGTAATATTTACACAGGATAAAGTAATATGAATATCCTAAATAGTAACATGTAAAGTATTATAATTATATTAATTACTTTAAAATTTTAAATATTAGGACTTCTTACATTGTTCAAATAAGAAAACTTTTAATAAAATATGTGGGAAGATTTACTTAAAACTAATTTAAATTTCTTATAAATTACCATATAATATATTGCTATTAATTTAAATATATGAATTTGAGTATCTTATATATATTTTAAATCCAATATTGTAATTGGCTTTTAATTTAATAAAGGTATATATTACAACATGTAAATAAAAACTAAAAGTATATTATAATATAAATTATTAATATAAATTATTATTATTTTTAAATGTAGGCATATCATTTGTAAACTTACTTAAAAAATACTTTTTCACTAACTAGTCTTAGGGTACGCGCGTTGCGCGTGTTCCCTATATTATAAATATATTTTTTTTAAATAACATAAGTAATAGTAATGTACTTGAGTTATAAAATAAAAATTAAAAATATAAAATAATAAAAATTAATTTTTAGCTCTAATCTTTATTTTGTGTTTTTGATGTTTAGTTGATCAAAGTTTTAATATTTCGCTCTAAATCATAATCTCATGTTTATTATACATATGTAACCAAAACTAAATTTTTAAAAAAGATTCACATAATGGGAGAAATTTTAATTGGTTCATGTATTTTTCTCTAAATCATAATCTCATGTTTATTAAACATATGTAACCAAAACTAAATTTTAAAAAAAGATTCGCATAATGGGAGAAATTTTAATAGCTTCCTGCATTTTTTTCCGTACGTGTTATATATGTTATTGTCTTTTTTCTATTTTTACAAATAAATAAANCGAACAGTTTAGTTTGGCATGTCCAAAGCGCCCACAAGTCGTACAAAGTAGGTTAAGACCCTCATATTGAATTAGTTGCTTATGGTGGCCCAGATTAACGTGAGTTTTTAGAGGCTTTTCCAATGGAACTTCAATACAAATTCTTTCATATCTTCCCCTAGTTGTAGACGAGGTACATGAATCGATCTTAAGTAGCTTTCCCAATTTCGACCCAACACGTTGGAGTATTTCCAGATCATAGAACTCCGTCGGCAGTTCAGGGAGCCTTGCCCATAAAGCAGAGTATGTAAGTTGAGTAGATGAAGCAACGAACTTTGGCTCCCATCGACGAACAGATAAAAAGTGGCTTAGAACAAACCACGGACCACCATGTAGAGCCTTAATCATATTCTCCTCTTTCTGATATTTTATAAGAAAGAAATCTGAATCTAGGTCAATGAGAGGAAGTTCCTCCGTTGGCTTCCAAAGATCTAGGAGTTAAATTTAAAATATGATGGGCAATCTTTCTTCCAAACAACTTGATAATGATCGAATATTTCCAAGGTTCATATAAACGAGATTTGTCATTCGCACTAATAGGAATAAAGTTATCATCGTTATCATCGTGTACAGTGATTTCATCCGTCAAGTTAGTGGTAAGTGTTGGGGTATTGTGATTAGCTAGGCTTGGAGAAAGGTGTTTGTCGAGTAAAAGAGTTTGAAGAAAAGTTTTTGGTTGAGAGGGAGTAGAAGTATCATTTATTTGCATAGATCCTATGTCAGGAGGTTCAGTGGTTTGGTTTGTATTTTGAGGCTCAGATTGATATGTGTTCATGTTGGGATTATGGGGTAGCTGTAAAGAAGTAAGAGAGGTAAGGATGCGAGGATATTAGAAAACAACGAAAGAGAAGGGTTTTTTACATCTTGAGAGCTTTCTATGATGCTACAGACCTTTTATCTGGTTTTGATGTCAATGTTGCACGTCTATAGTAATTTTACAATAAAATTACTAAATTATCATATGATTTTAAACCATAATAGCATATACTTTTAAAATTGTACAAACAAATATATACACCACTATTTGACTTTAATGCAAAGCTTTGCATTCTTCAATTTGCATATAGTCCAAAGGTGAACCAAAAAACTACTAAATAATTAATAGATAGAACTCATGAGAAAATTCCGTGTGAGAGTGATTGCTAATTTGATCTTGTAAATTGTATAATAATAAATTAAAAGCACTAATATCATGAAAATAGGAGGACCAAATAAAAATAAAAGAAAGAGTGTTAGATAAAAGAGGAGTAAGAATGAATACGGAGGGCAATTGACTGGATCTTCTGCAGGTGCTCTTTAGCCATTCAGGACTTTTAGTACCGGCTTTAGTTTTACTCCCATTATTGTCTTTTTATTTTGTTGTTTTCCTTCGAGTTTATGGCTAGACCAATTTATCAAGATTCAACAGGGTATTATGGAAAAATAGAATTTTAACCAGCTAAAAGAATTAATATATTTTATTTAATTATTTTCTAAATTTAAAAAAATTCATACAAACATCAATTTATTCATTATATCTTGATAAATAGTAGATTAGAAATAAATATTTAGTTTTTATTATTTTGCAGCAATTAGATTAAGGAGTTATTGTTATTTTATATAATTTAAATAGTTAAAAAATTTACATCTACTACAACCGTTGACAATATCAAAACTAACATAGTCTGGAAATAACTGAATACAACTAAGGAAGATAAAGAGGGAGGAAAGCAGAGTTGCGATCGCCAAGCAGCTACCTTGCTAACTCCGATGGATCTACAACTGAACAATCAACACCCACTACCGTGACCCGAAATGCCTGGAACTGCACACACGGTGCAGGGAGTAACGTGAGTACGCCAACTCAGTAAGTAACAACGGTAAATAAAGACTGAGAAGTAGTGACGAGCAATAATGCAAGTAACGTTCGTATCACAGAAACTCAGTAAAATATGGCATGCTATTAAAATCATAGTTTGAATCAAATCAGCTTGTATAAATCCAGTTCCAGCAAAATAATTCAAAAACCTCTTTCAACAATTTTCGAACAAAGGTTCAATGCGAAAGTGAGCCAAAATGATGAAATCATAAACAGCCCTTCGTGCAAACATCACTCATATACAACCCCTCGGGCAAACCTCACCATCGCTCGTATACAGCCCCTCGGGCAAACCTCACCATCACTCATGCCTCCCAGTCACTCAGCACTCGGCACTCGCACTCAATAGGTACCTGCGCTCACTGGGGGTGTGCAGACTCCGGAGGGGCTCCTTTAGCCCAAGCGCTATAACAAGCCAATCATGCCATAAATCAATCAGGACCTCGGCCTCACTCAGTCATGAATCAGTAAAACATGTTGCAGCGTGCAGCCCGATCCCCATAAGTATCCTCACAAATCAGGCCCAAAATCTAACGAAAAGATTTATATAAATAAAATCTTATGTCACTTTAAATTCTTAAATATCAGCAACATAATTACAAAGGTGGATGGTGAGGAACATATAAAAAAATAAAAAAATAAAAAGAATTTACCTCAATGTACTTTGTTGTGCTAGTTT